GCACTGAATAAACACTGATACAAAGGCATTCAAGTTCTTCTATAATCAGGCATGGGCAAGTTATTGGACTGAAAAAAAAAATGATCAGGCTTTCTTAACTCACCTGCATGAGCAGCCTCTCCTTCCTCAGCTTCTTGTAGAAGACAAGAACGTCTGGGTCTGCTCGAACCACACGCGGGTCAAAGTCCATAACCCTCAGACCCTCCAAACTCCGAGCCCGAGACAGGGCCACGTAAGCCTGGCCGCTCTCAAACACCCGCGCTAGAGAGATTTCCACGCAGTCTAACGTCATTCCCTGAAATAAATGAAGGAACACTCATTAATTGGATTGTTCATGCAATTGTGGACTGGATGGAGCACTCTGCCCTGTCGACTTGTCTTCTTGTGAACACCACTCCCCAATAATCTCATTTCCTCTGAAGGGAGACATGTATGCTTTTGCCTTGCTTTCTCTGGTGTAAATTAAACAACGCTGACACGAAGGCAGTGACAAATGAACTCAATTACCTTGAGGGCACCCCCGCCCCTCCATTTTTTTTTTGTCTCAAACCAATTGTACTACATTCTGGCATCAAAATATTGAAATTTTCCATTAAGACAGCAGAGAGATTTGTGAAAGCTCACTCTACTACTATTACTATTACCACCACCAGCGTATCTATTCCTGGGCCTTCAGAATGAGAGACCTGGGATTGGCAAATGCTGATTTACAAAATGTACACAACTGTGGAGCAACACATGTAGACAAACAATATCACAATTCTCAGACATATTATTCTTCATCCACTGTGACAAACCAACTCATATTGCAGCTTTTAATCACTGCGCGTAGTCGTATCATACTGCCCCTCGGTGGCCAACACCGGCACATCAGAAGGAGCACCACAATGAATTGAACTGAAGCATTAAATCATGATGTCCAAACTGTCCAATTCTTTACCCTCTTTGTTAATATGTAGTATAGAGTGCCATTTTCCTCAACAATATCACAAATTTTTTTTATTTTTTTGTTTGTTTGGATTTTTTTTGGGCGGGGCGGTGATTAATTGATTACTTTTCCACCTGGTTATGGAAGGAAATTTTCACCAATGCACACCGCTCAGGAGGGTTGAAAATGTTTGATGTCAAGGAGAAGTCACCACTTTTTCTTTCCTGACGCTGTTGGATGGTGACGTCTCATTTTCACTCCATTACTGGAAAAAGACGCATCCGAAGTTCAAGGCCAGGTTTACAAGCCCTCCCGGGGGGGCGATAGTGACGTGTGGACTTTTTAATGTCCAGTTCTAATCTCTAATCTTTTTGGGGCCATTCAGTCAGTGGATCATAATGACATTCACTGTCATTCACTACCCCGCCACCGGTGATTTTGCATTTGTTGCCGTTTGGACTCGTTTGATGGGCAGACATGACGTGTGAGCAACATCTTGACCTTGAATCAAAGTGATTACGCTTTAGGTCAGCAAGGACACTACAATAAAAAAAAAAAAAAAGTTAATTTTGGCAGAGCGGACGGGCTTGGACCCAAAAAAATGGAATATAAAAACTTGTTTGGAGGGGGTGGGGGGGGGGGAGATCTAATTTAAATATAAAAGCAAATGGCAAAGTTGCACAATCTTCTAATCCATTAAGGCAATGTGAGGTCATCCCTCCATTATTTGTATAGAAACTTTGTACGGGCAGCCCACCTGGCTCTTGTGGATGGAAATGGCCCAGGCCAATTTGAGTGGCAGCTGCTGTCGACTCAGGTGGGTCCCGCCCCCGGACTTAAACACCCAGCGTTCAAGCTTCAACACTTCAGTGACACCACACAGGAAGCGCACGCGTGGGAGTCCTGTCAGCATTGAGGAGGAGGGGGAGGGAAAAACAAAAAAAAAGCATGAATCAGCTTTTTCTCAAATGAGCAGTTTCACACTGTAATTTGGCGAATGTATTTAAAATGTTCTTTTCGCTGACAATATACATACACACACACACACACACACACACACACACACACACTGAAACTGAAATTCTCTTTTTACCCACAAATTCTCAGAGAAGTGAGAAACCCAATCGGGCATATGTCATGTAGTTAAAAAAAAAAAAAAAAAAGAATAAGATATCTTTTATTTGTCCCACACTGGGGAAATTTACAGTCTCCAGCAGCAAGATTGTGGGTAGAAAGAAGA